CCATGCCATGTCAACTATTGGACAGTTAATAAACTAATATTAAGTTAGCATCTTTCAACACTAGAGAGTTTCATCATTTCTTCATCAACGATAATTCCTTACGAAAATCTTATTTTTGTGAAACTTATGTCTCAAGTAAATTGAGGACAACAAAGCATATCAAGGAGCTGGAACAAAAGGAGGAGAAGTAGAAGAAGGAGACGACGACGGGGACAAAGAAGAACCAGAATATGACGCCGAATGAAATGACAACAACGAAGAATGACTAGGAAAAGGCATTTAGGACGAGGAATAGGAAGGCTACAATAAGAATAAGATGGTAAACACAATGAGGGAACAGACGACGACCAGGGAAGAGACGACGACGAGAGAAGCGGCAACGATGAGGGAAACGACGACCATGTACTACAGCAAGATGACAGAATGTTACGACGAAGAAGAAAAAGGAGTCGTCATCAAAGGAGAAGAAATGAGGGTGGACGGAGAAGAAGAAGACGAAGAAGAGATGTTCTCAAATCAACATTAAGAGTGTGATTAAATCAGTGAAGTTCTATGTGAAATTTGTATGTGCTGTGTGTGTTTTAATCAGCGTTAATTGTCGTGTGTGAAAATAAGTGTCATATCTTGTGTGAATTTTTAATATCTCTTGCAGCAGAATTTTATTTGGAAAATTAGGACTATCATCACTAGACACACTACGTGAATGTTGACGAAAGTATGATGACCAGAAGAAGATATGATGACGACACTGAAGAGGCCGAAGCCTATGTTGATGATGTGATAGGAGACGACGAGGACATCGAAGACGACTACAAAGAAGAGAACAATGGTGACGATGACGAGGAAAAGGCATCTATCAACAGGAATAAGAGGAAGACAATAACGAATAACATGGTAACGACGACGAAGCTGGAGATGACTAGGGAGGAAATAACGACGATGAACTACAGCAAGAAGAAAGAATATTATGACAAAGAAGAAAATTAGTCGTCGACGAAGGAGCAGAAACTAGGGCGGACGGAGATGAAGAAGACGAAGAAGAGACGTCCTCAAATCAACATTAAGAGTGTGATAAAATCAGTGAAGTTCTATGTGAAATTTTTATGTGCTGTGTGTGTTTTAATCAGCGTTACTAGACGTGTGTAAAAATAAGTGTCATATATTGTGTGAATTTTTAATATCTCTTGCAGCAGAATTCTAATTGGAAAATTAGGACTAACATCACTAGACGCACTACGTGAATGTTGAAGGAAAGTATGATGATGACCAGAAGAATATATGATGACAATGAAGATTACGAAGCCTATGTGGATGATGTGGAAGGAGATGACGAGGAAATAGAAGATGACTACGAAGAAGAGAACGACGAAGACGAGGACGAGGAGAAGGCATCTATGACCAGGAATAAGAGGGCAACAATAACGAATAAGATGGTGACGACGACGAGGGAAGCGACGACAACGAGGGAAAGATGATGATGCTGGAGATGACGAGGCAGGAGATAACAACAAGGGAAGTAGGAACGACGAGGGAAATGATGACGAACTACATCAAGAAAACAGAATATTACGACGAAGAAGAAAATGAGTTGTCATCGAAGGAGCAGAAATTAGGGCAGACGGAGACGAAGAAGAGAGATCCTGAAATCAACTGGAAGAGTGTGATAAAATCAGTGAAGTTGTATGTGAAATTTTTATGTGCTGTGTGTGTTTTAATCAGCGTTAATAGTCGTGTGTGAAAATTAGTGTCATATCTTTTGTGAATTTTTAATATCTCTTGCAGCAGAATTCTATTTGGAAAATTAGGACTATCTTCACTAGACGCACTACGTGAGATGACGAGGGAGGAGATAATGATGAGGGAAGTAGCAACGACGAGGGAAACGACGACATACTACAGCAAGAAGACAGAATATTATGAGGAAGAAGAAAAAGGAGTCATTGTCGAAGGAGCAGAATTTAGGGCGGATGGAGACGAAGAAGAGACGTCCTCAAATCAACTTTAAGAGTGTGATAAAATCAGTGAAGTTCAATGTGAAATTTGTATGTGCTGTGTGTGTTTTAATCAGCATTAATTGTCGTGTGTGAAAATAAGTGTCATATATTTTGTGAATTTTTAATATCTCTTGCAGCAGAATTCTAATTGGAAAATTAGGACTATCATCACTAGATGCACTACGTGAATGTTGAAGAAAAGTATGATGTAGACCAGAAGGAGATATGACGACGACAATGAAGAGGACGAAGCCTATGTGGATGATGTGGAACGAGACGACAAGGAAATAGAAGACGACTACAAAGAAGAGAAGGGCGATGATGAGGAAAAGGCATCTATGACCAGGAATAAGAGGGCGACAATAACGAATAATTTGGTTATGATGAACGAGGGAAAGACGACGAAGCTGGAGATGATGAGTGAGGAGATAACGACGAGGGAAGTAGCAACAACGAGGGAAATGACAACGACGAACTACATCAAGAAGACAGAATATTTTGACGAAGAAGAAAAAGGAGTCATCGTCGAAGGAACAGAGAATAGGGCGGACGGAGACAAAGACGACGAAGAAGAGACAACCTCAAATTAACTTCAAGAGTGTGATAAAATCGGTGAAGTTCTATGTGAAATTTTTATGTGCTGTGTGTGTTTTAATCAGCGTTAATAGTCGTATGTGAAAATAAGTGTCATATCTTGTGTGAATTTTTAATATCATCTGCAGCAGAATTCTAATTGGAAAAATCTGGACTATCATCACCAGACAGATTACGAGAATGTGGAAGGAAAGGAGGTTGAGCAGAAGCGATGACTACGACGAAAGGAACAAAGGGTGCCACGGTGATGAGGAATATGAGGGCGACAATAATGAATATGATTGCAACGACGACAAGGGAAGAGACAAGGGAAACACGACGAAACAGGAGATGACGACGAGGGAAGCGATGATGACGGAGAATGGTAATGAAAGAGACGACGAAGAACAACCAGACGACAGAAGACTATGACGAAGAAGAAAAAGGAGACTTCCAAGGAGCAGAAAATAAGGCCGACAGAGAGGGGGATGACGATGACGACGATAAAGAAGAGATCCTCGATCAGCATTAAGAGTGTGTTAAAATCAGTGATGTTCTGTGTAATTTCTATGTGCTGTGCGTGTTTTAATTTGCTTTAATGGTCGTGTGTGAAAATAAATTTCATAATTTGGGTGAATTTTTAGTATCTCTTGCAGAACAATTCTAATTAGATAATTTGGACTATCATTATTAGACCCTCTAGGAGAATGTTAAAGAAAGTATGTTGAGGAGCAGAAGATGACGTAGATGAAGGGGATGAAGCCAATGGGTATGTTAAGGAAGGAGACGACGAGGAACGACACGGACGACAAGGAAATACAATAAGACTACGAAGAAGAGCATGACAATATAGAGGAAAGTGCTTCTATTACCAGGAATAAGAGGGCGACAATAATGAATAAGTCGGTAAAGACGATGAGGGAAGCGACAACGCAGGAGGTGACGACGAGGGAAGAGGCAACAACGGAGGATGGGGCCGAAGCAGACGAGGAAAACGAACTACAAGAAAAAATAGATTACTTCGACGAAGTCGAAAAAGGAGACGTCAACGAAGGAGCAGAAAATAGGGCCGACGACGACGAAGAAGAGCGCGGCGATGGCGAGGAATGTGAGGGCGACAATAAAGTATAAGATGATAACGAAGACGAAGCTGGAGATGACGACGAGGGACGCGACGAGGGAAACGACGACGAAACAGGAGATGAAGACGAGGTAAACGACGACTACGACGACAACGGAGGATGGGGACGAAGGAGACCAAGGAGACGAGGACGACGAACTACAACAAGAATAGAGAGGGCTTCGATGAAGAAGAAAAGGGAGGCGTCGAAGGAGCAGAAAATAAGGCGGACGACGACGAAGATGAGCGCGGCGAACCGACGAGGAATATGAGGGCGACAATAATGTATAAGTTGGTAACGAAGACGAAGCCGGAAATGACGACGAGGGACACGACGAGGGATGCGGCGAGGGAAACGACGAAACAGGAGATGAAGACGAGGTAAACGACGACTACGACGGCAACGGAGGATGGGGACGAAGGAGACCAGGGAGACGAGGACAACGAACTACAACAAGAATGGAGAAGGCTTCGATGAAGAAGAAAAGGGAGACGTCGAAGGAGCAGAAAATAAGGCCGACGACGACGAAGAAGAGGTCTACGAAGAAGAGCGCGGCGAACCGACGAGGAATATGAGGGCGAGAATAAAGTATAAGATGGTAACGAAGATGAAGCCGGAGATGACGACGAGGGACACGACGACGAAACAGGAGATGAAGACGAGGTAAACGACGACTACGACGACAACGGAGGATGGGGACGAAGGAGACAAGAGAGACGAGGACGACGAACTACAACAAGAATAGAGAGGGATTCGATGAAGAAGAAAAGGGAGACGTCGAAGGAGCAGAAAATAAGGCCGACGACGACGAAGAAGAGGTCTACGAAGAAGAGCGCGGCGAACCGACGAGGAATATGAGGGCGAGAATAAAGTATAAGATGGTAACGAAGATGAAGCCGGAGATGACGACGAGGGACACGACGACGAAACAGGAGATGAAGACGAGGTAAACGACGACTACGACGACAACGGAGGATGGGGACGAAGGAGACAAGAGAGACGAGGACGACGAACTACAACAAGAATAGAGAGGGATTCGATGAAGAAGAAAAGGGAGACGTCGAAGGAGCAGAAAATAAGGCCGACGACGACGAAGAAGAGGTCTACGAAGAAGAGCGCGGCGAACCGACGAGGAATATGAGGGCGAGAATAAAGTATAAGATGGTAACGAAGATGAAGCCGGAGATGACGACGAGGGACACGACGACGAAACAGGAGATGAAGACGAGGTAAACGACGACTACGACGACAACGGAGGATGGGGACGAAGGAGACAAGAGAGACGAGGACGACGAACTACAACAAGAATAGAGAGGGATTCGATGAAGAAGAAAAGGGAGACGTCGAAGGAGCAGAAAATAAGGCCGACGACGACGAAGAAGAGGTCTACGAAGAAGAGCGCGGCGAATCGACGAGGAATATGAGGGCGAGAATAAAGTATAAGATGGTAACGAAGACGAAGCCGGAGATGCCGACGAGGTGAGGCTATGACAACGAGAGTGGAGGAGGCGACCAAGAAAACGACGCCGAGAATGTGGAGGATGACAAAGAAAGGGACGAGGGAAACAAAAACGACGATCACGAAGGAGGATTGCTAATTTCTTGCATCTTACAGCTTAGGTTGTAGTTGTAGCTGATACCAAATTCTGGGTGCATAAGGCCCAGGTTTGGTGTAGACTAGAAGTGCTCCTTTCTTGCATCTTACAGCTTAGGTTGTAGTTGTAGCTGATACCAAATTCTGGGTGCATAAGGCCCAGGTTTGGTGTAGACTAGAAGTGCTCCTTTCTTGCAGCTTACAGCTTAGCTTGTAGTTGTAGCTGATACCAAATTCTGGTTGCGTAAGGCTCAGTTTTGGTGTAGACTAGAAGTGCTCCTTTCTTGCATCTTACAGCTTATCTTGTAGTTGTAGCTGATACCAATTCTGGTTCCGTAAGGCTCAGATTTGGTGTAGACTAGAAGGGCTCCTCTCTCGCATCTTACAGCTTAGCTTGTAGTTGTAGCTGATACCAAATTCTGGTTGCGTAAGGCCCAGGTTTGGTGTAGTCTAGAATTGCTCCTTTCTTGCACCTTACAGCTTTGCTTGTAGTTGTAGCTGATACCAAATTCTGGTTGCGTAAGGCCCAGGTTTGGTGTAGACTAGAAGTGCTCCTTTCTTGCCTCTTACAACTTAGCTTGTAGTAGTAGCTGATACCAAATTCTGGTTGCGTAAGGCTCAGTTTTGGTGTAGACTAGAAGTGCTCCTTTCTTGCATTTTACAGCTTAGCTTGTATTTGTAGCTGATACCAAATTCTGGTTGCGTAAGGCCCAGTTTTGGTGTAGACTAGAAGTGCTCCTTTCTTGCATCTTACAGCTTAGCTTGTAGTTGTAGCTGATACCAAATTCTGGTTGCGTAAGGCCCAGGTTTGGTGTAGACTAGAAGTGCTCCTTTCTTGCATCTTACAGCTTAGCTTGTAGTTGTAGCTGATACCAAATTCTGGTTGCGTAAGGCCGTTTTGGTGTAGACTAGAAGTGCTCCTTTCCTGCTTTTTACAGCTTATCTTGTAGTTGCAGTTCATACCAAATTGTGGGACTACAAGTAGATGAAACAGGAAGAGGAAGAGTACAAGAAGAAGAAGAAGAACGGATCTTAAAAAGCGGGATGTGAACTTCTGATAAAGATTATTGCGCATTAGAGTGTAATTTAATAAGCTTTTCGGCCTTTCTTTCAGTCGGTTTTATGATATCTCTGGCAGTATTAATTTCCTTGGCATCATCATCCTTTTCTAAGTGAAGAGTAAGTCCTCTAATAAATTCTTGTTAGTTAACATGAAATAATTATTAAAGCCGAAAACTGCTAAATGTGTTGCGTGACACTGTACAGCTTAATGAATGGGGAGGCATGCAGATAACATGCTAGAAGTGCGCGGAGAAACAGTGTGATCAAATGGAAGATAGAGAAAAACAGAAACAAGAGGAGGAAGAAGTAGAAGAAGATGTCAACAATGAAAAAGAAGATGATGAAGGAAATGAGTTGGAATCTAAAGATGGAAGAAGTAGATAAATGAAGATGTGCAAAGTGAAATAATATCTAATCTCTTAGGTGTTTCTGCTATATGCCTCTTATTTTAGTTTGAGTCAGAGTCATTTTGGGGTGAGGTGAAAGGGATGGTTTTGAGGATAATTATTGTAGGGGGTTACTTGAAGTAGATCATCTGTCACCCAGACATGATGGATTCTCTGGGATTTCAAGCGTGTTCATGTTTCATCACCAGAATGAGGGACAAATTCATAATGTAAAGATGCCTAGCGGTGTCTACAAATATGTGGAAGAGTCAACACATCTGGGAGCATTATTACTGAATGAAATATTCATTTATGAAGAAATCAGGAATGGGCAAAGAGGGTGTTTGGGAAAAGCTTGCTACCATTTTGTTCTGAATCTTTTCACTACCTGTCTGCCATCTAAAAATGTAAAGACAAAATAAGCTGAACTTCAGACATCCCTGGTGTTCGAGTATGGGAGCTAAAAATTTTCTCTTGCATACTTAAAACCCGCTTAGCAGCTACTTGATAATATTAAGACTCAACCTCCTATATGGTAAAGGTCAGTATTCCGCCAACTACAAGAGCCGAGTTACACTGCTGATATGTTGTGAAAGATATGCCAAGATTATTATTGTTCTTGTGTAATCATGAACGTTCTCTAAGAAAGTTAAGTCACCATTACAGCACACACGTACAAACATGCAGATCATTTATCACATAGCATGTTCTATATCAACCAACAAACTGACTGAATCACTGACTAACCAACTAACAAATTAACTAAAACTCTTCTTCTATTTTACAAGCATGGCCAGCAAACATTAACATGAAGTGATCTGCATGTTTACAATTTACCTGTTATTCAAAAGAAT